CTAACGAGGTTTTGCCTAAACAAGCTTCCAGTCACCCTTGGTGCAGGCCTGGCAAGCAGCTCAGCGCTGTGCTCCTGTGACACTTGGCAAGTGGAGCCTCAGCGAGCCCAGCACAGGAGGGACGGCCGTCACCCCAGCTCCCCTTGGAGCAGTTCCCCTGCCAAGCTGGGTGAGAGGAGCTGCCCTCAGCCTGCAGCCACAGGAAGAACTTGGGTAGATCACATACACCCCCCGGGCTCTGCCTTTGGCTTATTCAATCCAATACGGGGTGTTCTGCCGAAAACACAACACGCGGCACTTCAGCAGCACGGTGTGGGGGCTCCTCGGCTGGGGAGGTGGGAGCTCTGCCAGCACGATGCCCCCACGGTTGGTGCTACGAAACAAACTGGTGCTTTAATTTGACCTCTCAGCACAACAGGAAAATAAATCCTCAAACGGAATTGATGAGAGGAAGATGAAAATCCCCATCGTAACACACTCCCCACCCCGAATCTCTCCCCGACTTGGCTTCCAGCACCGCCTGGAGTGCAGCGCCCACGCTTAACTCCCTTCCTCAGGCATCTGGATCACGGGGAACAACCAGAGTCCAGCTGCCATCACATGTCCTGGTGCAGGGTGAAGGTGCCACCGCTGCCCAGAGCCCTCACAGCCCCTCACCCTCCGCAAGCCCAAAGGCAGCGACGTGGCTGAAACGTGCAGCTGAGCCCCAGACGCTTTCCCCGGGGAGCCCACGGCCCAGCTGGCGCTTGGGAGCCCAGTGGTGTTGCATGCGGAGAACAAGAGTCACTTACCTCATTCGTGCTTCCCTGGGGAGAGGCATTGGGAAGAAAAAGGGGGAGAAAGAAGAGAAGAAGAGAAAAAAAAAGCATCTCTGTGTATCACGCACACCCACGGCAGCGCACAGTGCTCACACCTCTGGCCAGAGCCACTTGCTGGTGCCAGCACGGCAGTGTCCTCGCCCAGCACAGGCTGTCCCTCTTGCAGGACCCCTCAACGGCTCCGTCCACCCCTCCTGCAGCCGGTCCCACCGCCACGGGACACTGAGCACTCACACAGGACAGAGCCACTGTTCTTTACACCCACCCAGGGCACTCGGCCACCAGCCCTGCACATCATGGTGAGCCCAATCCCGCTGCCCAAGCCCAGCCTGGGCACAGCTCCTGCTCGGGAGAACTTTCCCCTGGCTTGGAAAGCTGTGCCCGCAGGGTCAGGGGGCACCGGGGAGCAGCCACAGGCACTTTAACCTCTTTATTTTTTCCCCAGCTGGGCTGGTTGCAAGTGGGCAGTGTCTCTGGCTGCGTCCTGTTCTTGCTCAAACACTGGTTCCTGCACAGGGAGGGACAAACACCGGCCTTAAACATCTCCCAAAGGCACCCGGGAAGGGTCCCCGAGCGAAGAGCCGCGGCGCAGGCACCGACGGCACCGCAGCGGGGTTTACTCTGGACACTGGGGCAGGAGGCATCCAGGCGATGGGCTGCGCTTGCTCTCCCATCTATCTGCCTTATTTTAGAGGCAGCCCAGCTGAGCAACATCACTCAGCTTCACTGGATGAAGAAACTGAATCATCAAAGGTTTGGTTTTTAACCCCAAAGCTGCAGGTTGAGCTCCAGCAGCAGCTCCCTGCGCAGCAATGGGAAGAAAGGAAACGCGGTCGGTCTCAATCAGAAACTGGCTGGTGGATAAGGATCAAGGAAGGAGCAGGGAAAGCTGGTGAGAACAGCTCTGTTCCCCTTGGAGCAGTACAGAAAGGAAACCCAGGACTGCAGCTGGTGGCTTTGTAGGGCAGAGTAAACAGTGAGCTCAGCCAGCTCCAGCCTTTCCCCAGCAGATCTGCAACCGGGAGAAGGAAGGGGGAGAGGAAGGACCAAGCGTTACAAACACCGGGAGATGACCCCTCCAGGGCCAGGCACCTACGGGGGGTGATTTCTCCCTGTGACCATTTTTAAGCTTTTTCAGAGGTGTTTCTGTTTGACACCAGGGCCCAACCAAGACTTCCCACGTTGTTTGGGGAAAAAAAAGAAAAAGAAATCTAAAGAGAGTGGGTGAGACCAACTGACCCAGCACAGCTGCGGCTGTACTGGGAAAGGGAGTGCCAGCACCAGAACCAGGCAGAGTTGAGACCTGGCCTCGGTCTCTGGCAGACCCAGGGAGAGTCAAAACCCTGCCCTGAACCAGGGGAGAGATATGGGTTTGTATTTGTGACGTACACACAGCCATGCACACAAAAACCACACGCACTGGCTCTGAGAACACCTCCCCACTGGGACCCTGGGCAAAGCTGCCCCATCCCTGCAAGGTCTGAGGCTCCACAAACCAGGGTTTGGTGATGGGTAAGACACAAAATTAAAACAAAGACAGAACAAAATAGCTTGCTGTGAGTTTTCTCATCCCCAGCTCGGGTCTACATGGCTTGTCTTTGACACTGGGCAGGATTCAGAGGCTCAGACATGAGCAGGGGAAGGGGTGGGGTGGCTCCTGCTCTCAAACCCACCTCATACCACCTACAACCACAGGGCAGCCCTACCCAGGCCCATCTCCAGTCCCTAAGACATCTCCCCTTACAATCAACTCTACAAACTGAGCTGAAAACATATCCTCTGTCCCTGTTTTCCCCATCTAGAAGGTCTAAGGAATGGCCTAAAACTCATTGTCCTGCTGTCTGAAGAAGACACAGCACAGCTCTTCCTTCTCTCACTGATCACAGCACAACCAGCTCAAGCAGCTGGATCTGCCCAGGCAGGCCCAGCTGGAGCATCTAACAACCCTAAATGCAAATACAAAAGCCATTTCCAAAGGGGATGAAAAGCCCCCAGGACACTCAACGCTTAAGAACTTGTTGGGGTTTGTTTGTGTTTGTTTGAAATCAAAAGCTCTTTATCCTACCTGGTCCCATAAGGCTGCGGCCACTTGGTCTATTACTGCGCCCAGTTCTCTGTACTCCCCAGAGTATCTGATATAAGCCCAGGTACACAGTGTGATAAGTGTCAAGCCCATGATCATGTTGCACAGACTGGCTATGATGTCCAAGCCAATGAAGCCGGTCACTCCAGCTATCACATAAGTGATGAAGATGACCACAAAGAGCGTGGCGGGGGTGCGGGCGGCGTGGAAGATGTTCTTGCTGTCGTTGTGCTTGATGTATTGGATGTAGAGCTCGTCTATCTCGTTCTCCAGCTGCTGGAGGTAGCGACGGCTGAATTCCTCCCCACCCATCTTCTTCACCCCGCGAAACAGCTTCACAGCTTCTTCCTTCAGCTCCATGTGTTTGGTCTGGAGGTCACTAGGTGCAAGGAAGGGCTTGTCCCCACCACAAACCTGCGTGAAAAACACAGTCCAATCACTTCAGAAACCACAGCTCCTGCACTCTGCCATGCAAACCACTGGTATCAGGGCTCTACAAGCTCCTGTTCCTGCACTAGATCCTGCAGGAAGACCTTCATGACTGTGCTGTCCACCTGGGACAGCTCTGCAAGGTGCAGGTTAAAACAGGACAGCGGGTGTCTGCACTGGGAAGCTGCATCCCACAGCTCCCTTACACACAATTCACTCACAGCCTGAGCCAAGATCTTGGGCAACACTTGATGGCTGAGCTACACTGACCAGCAGGACCCTGCACACCAGCATGTTCTGGAAATTCTTCAGCATTTTCCTTCTGCTTCAGAGTATGGACACATTAGTTTTAAGGCCCAGGGCAGTTTGGTCACGCAGCTCCGTACCTTCTTCCTGCCAAGAGGCAGCCATCTCCCATACTGCTGAACAGAGTGAGAGCCTGGAAGTGGCTGGAGAGAGGCTGGGGTCTGAGCTTCACCTTAAAACATCACAACCGTGTCCTCACCAGAGCTGAGAGATGGGCTGACAGGGTGGGGTGTAGGTGAAAAGCCACTTATAATGACTGTAGCCACTAATTAAGCACCAGCCATAGCACAGGTTTCACGGTCACCCAGCGCTGCCACCCCACTACACCACATTTTTGGGTTCATTTACCCACACTGGGGAACACTGGGAAGAGGATGTCAATTCAGCAGAGGCCACGCAGTCTGCAAAAAGCTGCCATGGGATGAAACAGTGACCATTTGTCAATCACCCTCCCCTGTCCTGCCATGACACCCTGAGCGGGTGTTGCTCTCCTCCACCCTGTGAGACAGCCCCTTTTCCACCATGAACAGAGGAGAGACCCTCTTTGAAACCTTGAACATGCAGCACTGTAACCAGTCCTGGCCAAAGTCCATGCAGGATGTTATCTACCAGAAATCCAGGCAGGGATGTTTCCCCAGGAGGACAGGAGAGTCAGGAGATGCTAGTGCTGTGAAAGGACATGCTCAGCACCACCTACCTCTTCCATTCTCCTGCTGTAGGTGTCTTTGGCAGTGGCAACCGCTGCTAAGTTGTTGGCTTCTGCTGTGGCCTGCAAAGAAGGGTAAAAGAGGTACAAAGTTCAGCTGTAGAAAGACAGGGTTATCGAGTGTCACTGCAGAGAGTAGCAGCCACTGGCTGCGTGGGTACCCATGGTCCACACGTGTACGTGGCCAGAACATGAGCATGGCGCAGAATTAAACAGCTCCCTTGTCTTGGCCAAGTGTACTCTCCCCAGCCTCTGACTGATGCTAAATAAAATCATCCCGTATTTAACACATCCAGTCTCCTCAGTCCACCCCAGGCAAAAGCCTGCATGGAGAGAGGATTCCTACTCTCCAAGCCAGAGCAACTAAAACTTTGGCTTCGGCTGTGGGAAACAGATAAAAGGCTCAGTCGTGTGTAAACAGTTACAGCTGCAACCTCCCGCAAATCCACCCGGCTCAGAGAGCTGAGCTGCAGCCCAGCAGCCGCTGCCCGCCTGCAGAGCCCTGTCACCTCCACGCAGGGCCCTGTCACCTCCACGTGCGGCCCCACCACAGCCAAACACAATGCTGTTCACCTGTGGGGGAATGGTTCCAGCTGAGCTGGCTGAGCTGTGAGCACAGGCAGGGAGTCACCACGGTCCGGCCAAGGTGTACAAGCCATGCTGCTGCAATTGCTAAAGCATATCAGACTCGTGACTGCCAAATCCAAATCCTTCCAAGAGGGGTGTTCCTTGGGTTGCTACACTAAGGCATTTGAAATAAAATCACTGAAGACACAAGTGGGGCCTACAGGAAGGCTGGGGAGGGAATTTTTTCAAGTGCACGTAGTGACAGAACAAGGGGTGATGGCTTTAAACTGAAAGAGGGGAGATGGAAATGAGATGTGAGGAAGAAATTGTTTGGTGTGAGGGTGGTGAGACAGTGTCCCAGGTTGGTCAGAGAAGCTGTGGCTGCTCCTCCCTGGAAGTGTTCTTGGCCAGGTTGGATGAGGCTTTGAGCAACCTGGTCTAGTGGAAGGTGTCCCTGCTGCTGATGGCAGAGGGTTTAGAACTAGATGATCCTTAAGGTCCCTTCCAACCCAAACCATTCGATGATTCTAAGTGCTGCGCTAGCTGGACACCTCTGACAATGAACTGGCAATCAATGGCAATTACAGTGCATGAACGCCCACCAGCTCACGCTCACATACCTGCAGCATTGACTTCGGGTGTGGCAATTCTTCCCCTTGGTAGATCTTTATGTATGCCTGCAAAACAGTGCACAGCAAATGAAATCACCTCGGATATGGCATTCACCAGCGACATGCAAACACCCCCACCCAGATCTAGGCACAGCTTTAACAGGATGTTAAAAGCACGGAAGAGGAGGATGTTCCTGGCACAAGGCAGCTTCATTAAAATGTGCCAGTAGTCATGACAACAGAAATAAGCTTTTTCCAAAGGCAATGAGCCCACCTCCCCCTGGTCCTCACTTCTCCAGGGGAGGAAAACAGCCCTGCCTGCTTCTTGGGCTTACTGCATGGTCAAAACACGACCGTGAGGTGTTTGCTTTCTGCAGCAACAGGAGCCAGGACTATGAGCTAGACCAAGAACATTCCCTGCAGCTGGCCTGCTTGCTGCTACTTTCACCTTTAATTACAGCAAAAATGCCACAGATTAATAAGCCAAATTTCTCTTAAATAAACCAGTACCTTAAAATACTCCACAAGGCCTCGACAGGTGATATGGTTTCCATTGATCTCCTTAACATCCAGGCTCTCGGGACTAAGAAGCCAAGGAATCAAAATCTTCAAGTTCTTGATGAACTCATCGTCTATTTCTGGAAACAAAACCCAATGTCATCAGTACCAGCCCAACATCAGACTTGTGCTTCAATGTGCACTCACGTGAAACAAGAGCAGGAGAGTCATGCCAGCATATCCTCAGCGCTACCTCTGGGCATATCAAGGATAAGAGGGTCATT